CAGCGCTGATGCAGATAGCATTTGTTTTCAGTACAGAACGCAGCCTCTGTAATGACTTAAAGCTTTCCTGCTAAAATTGTAAACTGTTAACATTAAGTACATTTCAATTAATATTAAGAGTTAAAACAACATTTTTTTACTCCAGACTGAACAGTTTGTCTCGAGGAAAAAAGTTACGATTGGTGCGATACTGCAGTTTTCATGCACAACCCACACCTTAATTTCCTGTTGGAAGTGATTGAGGAAGTAGCCCTACCTCTCATTGTCCACTGCCTAAACATGTAAATAGCTTAGATGGAGAAAACATATTGTCCTGGGATGAAAGAAAAACAATCAGGTTACTATAAACTTCAAATAACGTTTTTTTTTTTTAGTTACTGAAAAATAAAGAGGAGAGAATATTTCCTTTACAACGTCATATGTCCAATTTCTTAAAGGTCATGAGAAAATCATGCTTATCCCTAAAGTTAGTCAGAAAGGGAATTTCACTGGCCAAGGCATTTCAGCTGCTCATGTGCTGTGTACATCTGTCACACCAAATGTGTCTCTGCCAGGCCTCAGACACTACAGTAGGTGCCCATAGTGTTGAAATGCGCTGGAAAAATATATACAAAGGCTTGATCGCGCAGTGGCTCCTAAGTCAGCACAGTGAGGTGGGTATTGGTGACAGCTGTCCAATCTTCCCCTCACCCCCTCCTCCCTCACCAGCCACCATCACTTTTCAAAAATGCTCCCTGTTTACCATATATAGGCAGCTGCCACCACCGCTAACTTCCATAAGACAGCCACCTGCTAAAGGACATTTGTACATGTCTTTATTTAATTAAGGTGAATGCCAGTTCATTTGCCCCCTCATGCAATGTGACTGAAAATAAGTCGACCTTCATAAAAGGCTGCTGCCGGTGAAACCTTGTGGCGGGCATGTATCTTCCCTATTGGTCAAAATGCCAGTTTTGCCATAAAAATTGTCGTTGTTCGCAATATTTAAAAAAAAACAGCACCTACGATATTTGTGTTCTTGTGGCCTACACAAATATAGAGTAGTATAATTTACTTTTGGTGTGAAACATGAGCTTGTTTTGATGAACATGAAACAGGTAGTCCAGAGGGTACACACACAATTCTCCTGGCCTTGTAATCTTTTTATTTTTCTGTTTTTTGTGTATATTAGTCTGGTAAGTTGTGGTTAGATTGCATTTTATTTCAAATGACTGTTTTCTGAGAGCTGCTTGAACAGGTATCTTATACATTTTTGCAAAGATAATAGAGGAGAACAGGCACCTAGGAGAATATGAGAGGATGTAGAACCACATGGGAGTGAAGAAAATTACATTTTGCGCTATAAAAAATGCTCCATTTGCCCTAATTTACTACACCTAGTCAGCTCTACAAGTTTAGGGGGGCTCTGGAAGTATAACCGTCTGACAATTTGGAAATGTGCAACCGAAATAATGTCATAGTATGTCCAGCTCTGAGATTGGTAACGTGCACGTGCTCAGACCATGACTATTGGGTAACAGCTGCCTTAGTGAAAACAATATTCCCTCTAAAAAATCTTAAGCAACATGTTGAATGTCTTTTTTAAAAGTGTTGAAAAGACAATTGAGATATTGTGGGTTTATGAGCAGTTGCCTGTCAAAGCTATTTCTTGAACAACAGCTGCTGGAGGCTATGACAGCACACATCATCTCAGAAGTCATTTCCTCAGTGTAATTTAATGTATTGTTTTGGTGGACAGTTTGCATGATAACAAGATATATTATTTAAATAACACAGCTTTTAAGTAGTTTTCACCTTCTACTCTTGCCTGTGATGAAATTGATATTCAGCTTCTGATTTGACCGTATGTTTTCCATACAAATTATATATTTGTATGATAAAATATCGATTTAACAAAAAGGAATGTTTCTTTAAGGAACAGATCCAATTAACTGTATCATGTGTTGATATTCATAACAACTTTGTGTTTTATTAAGATAATTTATATTATAGCCTTTATACACAAAATACCACATATAATTATAAACATCTGTATAAATCTGACTTTACCAGTAAAATCAAAGCTATATATATTCTCCAAGGATGAAATGAACCCTTTAGTTTAACCAAACTGCATGTCTTTTCTAACCTTGGCCTGCCATGTGATTAGCTTTTAATGTTTTATAATTAGTAGTAGCCTACCAATGGCAAAGGAGTCAGCAGGGCAGAGGTGGGGTGGGTACGCCCTTGAGAGCAGGCGAGCGATAAATGGACTGGATCATTACTGAATCAAGTGATCTGCAGAATAATCTATTGATTTTCTGGTCTTTCTTACTTCTTTATTATTCTGTATCACAGTATTGCAACATCAGGAGGAACCAACTGATGGATGGGATGCCTGGACCTCTGCAGTGACCGTGGGGGGTTTGCTTAAGAAAGTACACATTCCAGGGGCATACAATATATACACCTAGATGCAGGACATGCAGATTTATACTTTATATGGTGTGCTTTATTAAAGTTGACCACTGACAACTTCCGCTATATACTGAGCATGAACATTTTTAAAGTGGACCTATCATGCTATATTTGAAACATATATTGTAGGGCTATACCTATATAAAACATGTCTGCAAAGTTTTTTTTTCAAAATACCAAACAGATCATGCATTTTAGCCATGCCTCATTTCGCTCTATTTGCTCTTTTTTAGCCTGAATCTGAGAAGTCTTCTTCGCTGCTTTTGTGGCAGACTACAGCGCCACCTACAGGCCTGGCATATGTACTACAGCGTCTCCAGCACTTTCGAACGGCAATGGCCGTGGCTGTCTCCTCCTGATAGGTGGAAAGTTGCCCCTATAAGCGGAGCTCCTCGTTTCTGACGTCAGAGATATTTCAAACCTGCATCAGTCTGTATCAGATCCGTTGCAGCCCCGTTTTTAGAGATTTGGGTATGGAGGAAAAGAGAGAGGTTTGTGTTTTCTGACACTTGGTGAGTTCCCTGACACACCGGGGACACATATTCATGTATAAAAGATGTACAAAAGTTCATTTTGCATGATAGGTCCCCTTTAAGTTAGTTTTAATTAACATATTTAAAGTAGGAGTGTTAGTATAGATATTCGTTGTAAGGCGTTTACACAATTTATAACAACATACATCCACGGATAAAAAGAGATTATAAACTCTGAACAAGTCCTAAATATTTATTAAACAGATTTTCATTCATCTTTAATAATGGCTTTTCATAAAGAAAATTCAAAATGCCATTTAAAACCTTCACTCCCCTTAAGTTTTCTTTGTGAAATTATTCAACCTAACCTTGACAATCTGTGAATTGGACATTTATTGGGGGTTTAAATGCTGCACAAAAGTTTATTTGGCATATCAATTAAGAAACATCCCGTTGGAGGGATAGCAAGCAGGTCACAATCCTTGAATCCTAAACGATACCAGGAAGGTAGAGATTAAAGCACTATCTACCTTGTTAGTCGACTCTGCCATCGATCCCCTCGATTCTTTATTATGTACAACGGGACACATCACAAAACTGCTAATTGGCAATAATCTGTTTGTCAATAGTTCAGAAGACTGCAGAATTTAGATAAGGAAAGTTCAAGTTTAAAATACATTATCAAAGCCCCGCTATTCCTATGGGCTTTGCTCCCTGGAATACTTTCAAGGAGTCTCATGCTCAGAATATTTTACAGTAAGTTATTGATGTATGGTATAGGTGGAAAGGTGAGAGAGAAGTAAAACAAAGAGAGGAGGTGACATTAGTGTTCTGCCAATAGCAAGGTAAACTTTAAATGGACTCTGGGAAACTCTTTGAATAGTGGTTGATTAAATGCGGAACTTAAACCACAGAAGTGCAATCCTTGTGAAATTCTAGAGGACAACATGTTTTGCCCCTAATGGATTCAAAGAAACCAAAAAAATCTGAGTTAAGAAAATAACCCAACATTTGAATTATTTTCAATTTTAGCATATTTATTTTTGCTTTTACCTATAGCATATAAAAAAATCCAGCACAATGTGTCTCATCATATTCAAAACTCTAACTCCTGCTATTATATTTAAACTGGCTTAAATCAGATATAGAGAATATAAATAGTTCTTCTATTACATGATGCAATCACACCGGTTAAAATGCGTTTCAATCTCAATTTGTTCTTCATTCTTTACATTATGATTCTACCATTATAGTACTGTAGATATTAGTTTAGCTGAGGACATGGAAATAAACCCCCAAGTGGTAGGTTTCAGATTTTCTGAAAGACTGATGTAATGATGATGATGATGATGATGATCAGGTAGTTGCAGTGGACGTTAGCTAGTAAAGGGGCGTGGCTACACACGTGGACAGTGTTTAGCTTCAACTGCGCATTAGCTGAGGAGCAACGGAGTTATTGGTGGCAAAAGTCGAACATTGAAAAGTGAAAATGTACATTTTGTTCTCCGGAGTTGGCATAGAAAACCCAAGCAAACACTCGTGAAGTTACAAATAGAATGTCGTCAAAAAGAAGAGTTATTTTCTAAGTGTGAGTATGGTAAGCTAGCTGCGCAGTTTGTAAGCTAACACTTTAGCTAGCTAACGTTAAAACAACTTGATGTGCCAAGACATTAGTGGGACTTTGTTTGTCCCATAGTTCTAAATAATTAGCATATTTATCTTGCTGGCAGACATGTGTCTAAAACTGTCACCACCACAACATGTGGGCAAACCTGGACAACATGTGTGTTTTAAAGTCATTTGAAAGTGACCCATTTCAGGTACCCTAACCCTGGCTAAATATCTACTTTCTTAGACGGTGGTGATATATTTAAATGTCTTTGTTTATCTTTATTAATTTAAAACATATTTGAAATAAAAGCTAGTAATATAGTTCATTATTTTGACAAGCTGTCAGATTAGACGTAAAACACCACTCTACTCCAGTCCAGGTTTTCCAAGCAACACCTGCTCACCGAGAAATTCAATTAAGGACTCCTCTTCCCACTTGGAGCCGGTCTCCAGGGCAGATCTTCCGGGCGACCCGCCCTTTAAGAAATTAGAAAATTCTACAATAAAACCCGAAAAACTGAAAAAAAATGAGGCAACTTTATTAATGAAAGCTCTCACGCTACCCACCGTAAATAAACACGTCCCTTTAGTTGGAAGACAGCGAAAGACAGCGAAGTACCTCAGGTAAGAGTTTTCCTTTTCCTCTCAACTACTGTACATGCTCCCTTTTTATTTCCAAACATCATTCTCTGAAGATAGCGACATAAAAAAGTGTACCTCGCTGCAGCCGTGGCATTGAAAACGAGCTCTGAAAAGCAGTTATAAAGTGTTAAGAAATGACACCAAAGGGTTGAGACTTGACGAGAGGAGACACGGTGTGAGCCTTGGTGCAGCAGCCGCAGCAGCAGGAGCCGGTCTGGAGCGACTCCTCTGTTACTGAGCCCACCGTGCCTTGGACAATGCCGGTGAGAGGACCAGCCTTTCCTAAAACTTTAATAATTCACCCCACGGTCTATTCACGGCCGTCAGAGACCGGTTAAAAATGTGTTTCAAACCAAATGTGGGCGAACAAACGCGAGCCCCGTTGTAAAGCTGATACCAATAACTTTGGCTAACTTCGTACTTTCAGTCAAGGCGAGCCTAAATACCCCCATTCCCGAAATATATAAAACATGAAATAGGCAGTGTGAAAACAATACTGACATGAGGTATTTTATTATGTATTCAGCAAACGTACAGAGTAGGTTATTACTGTCCGCTGACACTTCCCCAAAAGCGACACGAATGAGCGACTTTTGGTGGCGACAGAAGCGCCGAAAGTGCCGGTTTTTGTCTAGAAAAACTTAGTGAAACTCCTTTGGTTGTCTCTAAACAGGTAGTAACCTTCATACAGTATCATTTACCGTAAATAGAGGAACTACTATAAATGCAATACATATTCAAAAGCCTGAATTGCGGAAGTTCTGTCGTTAAAGATTGTAAATGAAAACATTTGTCCTTATCTTGCATGTGCACTTTGTAATTTAGGGCTGCACAGTCAGATGGTAACCGAAAGTGTAACCTGCTAAATGCACGGTCTATCAAATATGTTTTCCTATTTTTTGTTATTGAGTTGAACAGGCTATTGTGCATACATATTATAAATAAATCCCTTTATAAAATATTAAACCATTTGAAAAAACCCTTATCATTTGCTCATAATGCTGTGCAGGTTATACGCCCCTGACACCTCAGACTGGCACAAGTCAGCCTTATTTGCTGTGATAAATAAGATTTCTCTGCAGTGCCTGCTCCAGTGGCTGTAAGGTAGGGCTTGGGACTTCCACCTACTGTAGAACAAACAATCTGTTCAAAAACACTTCATGTATCCTGGCTGTTTGGTTAGTTGTGATCTCTACAAAGCACCACTTTGATGTGAGATTTAATTTAACATGCTTTTGTAAAGGGTCACTGTTAGTTCTTCTGTGAATTCATAAATGAGTGTGTTGTGTGCTCGCCACTGTGTTTGTTATTATATTCAGGGATGAAGATGAGGACAGGAATAGATCACTGGCACTTTAAACCCGGGGTTCTCATATTCTCGCCGGATCTTTCTCCTTTGCTAATTATTGTGTTGTTTTCAGAGCAAATATGTCATATCCATGGCGACCAGGCAGGTTTATTGTCTCTCCCGTGCAATAGCTCACAAAAGTAATTAATTATCCTTTTTTCTCTCTCTCTCTCTCCCTCCCTCCCTCCCTCTCTCTCTTTCTCTCTCTCTCTCTCTCTCTCTCTCTCTCTCTCTCTCTCTCCCTCCCTCCTGTCTTTGGTTAAACAGATCATTCATGGAAAGCCATCTTCTATATTAAAAATGCCACAGCAACTACAACACAAGGTAAACATGAAAGTTTTTCTTTTACTGTTTTGATGTCCCTTTTTGTGCTTTGATTCATTCTCACCAATCATTTGAAGATGAAATATATAATGTAAAAAGTACATTATGCGAACAGTGTGTGCTTTTGAGGTATTTTCCATAATACCCTCATAATGCAGCAGCTGTGCAGCCTAACTGTTGCAGATCTATTCATGCATGCAAAGCAAGCACACACTTGACACTTAAACAGGCGAGCTTAAAAACACATGTTTAGACATGAAATCGGCTTGCATTTGGTGTGATCTGAATAGCAAGCATTAGCCAGACTAACGATAAATGTACTTTAGTGGTTACTCTTTTTCTACGAGGTCACGAAAGTAATAACCAACAGCAGGTGACACTACAGGGTATTATAGTTCAACTCATTGTATTGCAGGGATATTGTACCTGCACTTTCATACAGTCTGCACAAAGAGAGCAGTTAAGTGATCAGTTGAAGCAGTTTCCAGCTCTTCATCCTGTGAGCTCCCTCAGTGTATCTCTGGAATGTGACGGCATGTGTCTGCTGTCCGAAGGTCCATCTCTAACTGGACACCAGCCAGCCTTCAGTGTCAGACCGGTGGTACAGGTTCTCATCTCTCTTCGGCATTGATGAGACAGTGCAATATCCATCTGTCAAACATAATGCCCTTCTTTCTCTACCTCTATTTTGCTCTCCCTCTGCCCTCCTTCTTTCATAATTTGTTTTGTCGCGACTATAGGTGACAGTAGTGCTCGGTAAATCTGAGCTGAGACGTGAGTGATGCTTATTGTCCATTTTGTGTTGTTTTCATTGCGTTTTGAATTGTTTATTAGATCAGGGTTGTATGGATTTGGTCCTCTAGGCTTTTTGATTCTCTCTGTCTCTCTTAATTTCTCTGTCTCTCTAAAATGGCCCTTGAATTGTTGCCTGTAATGGAATGCTCCTGGTTCATTTGACTATTTGAGAATGTCATTGGTTAATCAGTGTGCGATGCCTGCAACATTCTTATTTCCTGCAGCCCTATCAGTCAGTGAAATGCCTCATGTCTCATAAGTACCCATCTGCATCTGTCAAGGGGTGTGTAGAATTAAACCCATGTGTATTCCTCTCTGTTTGACCTTGGCTGTGGACCTCAGGTCTTTGATGTCAAATAAGCGTCAGTAATCCCAGGCGGCATTTGACAGGCTTCAGGAACCATTACTTTTGTTTCCTAGCACATAAGCTTTATCAATTGCCCTCAGTGTAATGATTTTGTATACAAATCCACCGTACCACGACCATAGTGTTTTGCCTTGTAGGAATATACTGCCTTCAACACGTACTGTTATACCAGCACAAATGGCACACATGTTTTTTTAATCATCATTATTGTTTTTATTTTACTGCTAAGGAAATGTCCTTTTTGCATGCTTGATCAGCCAGTAGAGAAATCCAATATAATGGAGGTTCAAGGTGAATTGCATCCCTTGCATTTCCCCCCTTCGACTGGAGGAATATTCCAGAGCAAAATAAACAAATCACACAGACAACAGTAATATAGGGTTGATTTTGAAGGCATGAAATAAGTATCGATTAAATCCTGCAGTTCATAGATGAAAATTGCCTTTTTGGTAATTTGTCCTGGGTCCTTTCAATACGATGGAGAAACAGAGAGAGGCATGGACTGGGGGAGAGAGAGGGAGACTGCAGAAAAGGGTGAAGAGGAGGAATAGAGAGAGGAATAAGGCAAGTGAACAGTGAGAAAGACGTAGAACAGCTTTCACAGAGCTGAGAAAGGGACATGCTGCCCCTTTCCGAGCTCATTATCATTCTTAATAAGTCTTAAGGAAAGAAGGAACGTTGAGCGTAAATGCATGGTAATCCTTACACTGGCCAAGGTTAGTAGGGACGTCAGAACATGCGCACCGTTCCCAGCTGGCCACTTTGGGACAGGGAGGGGACCAGAAGAGCACAGTTAAGGATAGATGTTCAAGGAGAAAGTGAGGACATTCAGACACTGTGTAAAGGTTAGGCCCTTTCCCCCAGCCTGTAGCTTTTCAGTGCCGGCACCACCTGGCATTTAGTGAGTAAACAGTTCTGCTTCAGACTAAAAGCAGAGGCTTTTGGCCACAAGTGAGGGCTTTGATAATTCAGAAGAAGAAATGAATAATAAAGCTTGATTAACAGTCCAAATAGGACAGTTTTGACTTTGGCACCTGTCACCACAGGGATTCAGTCTTGTACTCAAAGTAACTGTTGGCTGCAGTGCATGCCTAATTCACTGTTCTTTGGGTGTGGTCCAAAAACAAGCATTAGGATGAATTGGATGAACTGGTGACCAATTAACTCATTTGACAAATTGCCAGCCACTTGTAGTGGTTGTTCAACCATGTTGCTTCAATGGAAATCCAATGCAGTATTTGTTTTAATGTACTAAAGGTCCAGTGTTGTCAGGGTCGGCCCTGAGTGTTGTGTCCCCCTGTGTTCATAATATTTTATTATTCCTGATCATATGTGAGACATATCTGGTGCATACATCTTGATCCACAGAGATTTCTTTAATTCCAGTGATTAGTTCAGTGAGTGGTTTTGCTGTCACATTGTCTTACCAGGGACCATTTTAAGCTTTTTTTTGTTTAAATATTCGTATTGCAATCTCAGAACTTATAGTTTTGTTGTTGTTACATAACAAAAACAGAGACATTCATAGCATAGAACCCCCCATCCCCAAGGCCTCTGCAGGAAAATGTCATGTATAAATGTTTGTGTGTATCTCATTTGGGAGACAACATTTCTGTTTGATATGTAATTCATTTTAAATTAAGAGTTTTGTAATATTGTTACTAATTATAAGACTGCTACTAATGTTATAAATGTCCTGCCTTTCCACCATTTTAAAATGTGGTGGTTTAAAAACGGAAAATACTTTTCCCAGTTTAATTAACTTCTCTTTATGACTCGAAGAATGTTTTTCTCTTTTTATTAGTAATATTAATTAGGGGTGGGAATCTTTGGGAATGTCATGGTTTGATTAAAATTTAAATTCATGGTTTTACAATTTGATTTGCGATTTCAAAATTGATTCACGATTCAATAAACAGACCTTTTTCTTCTGGCTCTTACTCCAGTGTACTGTGCCAAACTTAAAACATTCCACTGAATTGCAATATGAAATGCTCTCGATTAAGATCTTTGTCTGACAAACAGAAAAAAAGCCCCAGAGAAAAGAGTTAAGAGCACGCACTCCTGTATCGTGTGACAGAGTTTCCCAATGACAAATATGTGCTACCTTTTTTTTTTATAATGGTAGCTTTTAAATCTAGTTTAACCAGCTTCAGTGTCACATGATCAAAATGTTTCAGAAGATTTCCTCCCACACAAACCAATATACAACTTGGGGACAATAATGTATGTGCAATAGAAAACTGTGACAGTAAGATAATGTTAGCACACAGTACATGCTATGTTTACCTTCAGTCTCGAGGGCTGACAAACGATCACTTGTGTAAAAGTTGTCCTGAAGCCACTTTGGCACCAGGACAATTTGGCACAATTTAGTACCAGGAAGACAAGGATATTTGAGTTTTTCAGATATTATGCGCAGTTTTGGATTCCATGTTGGAATGCAATTCGATTTGGGGCCTAGTCTCCAGCAATATATTGCTGATGTATTTGACTTGTGATGATGACTCTACAAGACCCTCCTGGGAATAAGTTGGCTTAATAGGAAGATGATAACAGTCAAATAAGCAAACTCAATTGGAGCTGATGGTGTAACGTGGGGGTGCCCTTTTGTCTTGTTCAGTGTAATGCCATCTCTGTGCCTTTCTGTCATGTAAGGATGATTTACCCAGAGACAGATGTTCTTAGACCTTTGCTCAGGAACCTGCACTATTTGGTTCTATTTTTTGCCCTTTTAAAGGTTAAGGAGTAAAACATGTCAGCCTTGTTTGATTGCTGCGCATCAGTTGTTCTGTACTGTCTGTCGACTTTAGAGCCGCACTGGTCGTGGACTTAACTCTTGACTGGGCTGTTATGTCACACATGGAAGAGTTTTTTTTTTTTAGGAACACTTCCTCTTCATCATTCTCCTAATCTGACTGCATTTTGGTTGGCAACCTGCTCACTTACTACCCCTCCCCACCCCCCACCCCACCAACCCTCAAACCCCCTCCAGGGAGCCTTGGGAGGCAGAGAGCCATCACCATGGTGATCTGAACACAGTTCCCTCACACACCGGTCCATTGTGACTGGCATGCGTTGAGGTGAGAGGGAAGAAAATGTCACAGCAACAGGTTTTTTTGTGTTTTTGTTTTTGCCTCAATTCTCGGTGGGATTGTGCGCAGATCCATGCGCTCAGTTACACTGCAGGGACTGCCGGAGCGACTGTGGTGGTTAGTGGAACAAGCTGACTGGAGAAATACACACAGTGACATGGAAGTACACTGTTTTTTCTTTGATCGCGTTTAGCATCAGGGCAAGACCACAAAGGAAGCGTCATTGTTATTATCTGATTAAAAGTGTTTGCAAATTCTGCCAATAGTATAGCCCAAAGTAAAAAAAATAAACAAATCCTCTCAGGGTTTTAAAATCATTTAATGTCATTCTAAACTTGGTTTGAAACACATTTTCTTTTTAATTCAATCTCTGTCGGATTATTGCCAATGGGAAGATGAATTAAGTTGTTTAATATGGCGGGACTTTTACAAACAAACTCTTTGATGTGTCAACATATAACCCTACGCTCTTAGTAAAGATACTTTAAGATAGAGTTGTTTTATCGGTCACTATAAGACAGAAGGAATTTTACTTTTTCCATACTTCACTTTACTTCTGCCGCTGCGGCTTGTGATTAGCTTATGGTAATGCCCTTTGAGCTCTCAGTTTATGTAGGCCTTTGAACTGTCTTGATCCAGGCAACATGCTATTGGCTACAGGCCTTGGAGAGGGAAGTGGGCTTATTTTGTGGCATTGAAGAGGTGGACCAGATTTTGCCCCCAACCCTGAAGAAGATGTGTGC